GTAAAACTTAACTCGCATTAAATTTGCACTGCAGCGTCGTGTTGATGATTGCAATGCCGAGCTAACAGCTTCACGAATTAATGCACCAAAACATCTTAGCTCATCATTTTCTTAACTCCAAGAGCCTTTTTGTCTTGCTTATCTCTTCGTCCATTTTGGTTCTGCAGTAGCGTATTACACGCAAGTAAATAAATAATTAGATAATAAACTGGTTGAGAAAGTAGGAAAGACGAAAATCAACCATTCTGAGTAAAGTCGCGCTGTTGTAATTTTTGGCATACAACGCTTCTGGAATTTATACTTGAATCCTGTGATATTGGCGCATATCAAAAATTCAAAACCCCCAACAGTTTGCTTTTGAGCAACCTTCGAAGGAAAGAATCATCCGGTGGTTGTTTTTGGCACGTGCTAGCACATGCATTACTTTTCGGTAGGCCAGTCCTCTCTCAAAATATGACATCTGAAGGACGTTTTCAGTTCTTTTTTATTCTGACCTATAAAGCTGAGTTTGTTTTAAAATCAGGGTACCTTATTCTAGGTTGTCGGAAGTGCAACTGGAGAAGATCGACACGTTGCCGCTGTTACAGTGCCGACTTGTGCTAGCCTCCGCTGGCAGCTCCCATTCATCGATGCCATCCATTGTCACTCATTTCAAGTATCTGGCACGCTTGATGTTTTTTTTTTCTTGCATTTTCAAAAAACGAATGCTCCATTTAGCTTATCAGCAGCAAGCTCCAGTAGTGCTGCTTTTAAATTTGGAATATTCTAGGCGTGTACTCAGCCGTTCCGAATCGCGGCGCTTCTTCGGACGCCCGCTGGAAGGTTCTTCGCCACCTCAGCCAGTTTTGACGATGATCGACCACTTAATCCTTCACGGAGTGGATGTCGAAGGATTGTTCCGGAAGTCACCCAAGCAGAGTACTTTGCGCATGTTGAAAGCACAGCTTGACCGCGGTTCTGTTCCAGATTTCTATCAGTTCAATCCCCACGTTACTGCTGCGCTGCTTAAAGTATCTTTCGTCCATCTCATCTTTTATGAAAAGCATCTTTTTTTGGTATGAATTGACCGGAACTAATCCAGGCATGCACATTTTTCAGGAATATCTCCGAGAAATCCCGGGAAAGTTGCTGCTTTCTGGCAACTTTGAGCTCTGGGCACTAGCAATGGAACAAACGGTGGATCGGCAAAAAGCAGTTCACAGATTGCTACAAATGCTGCCATCTGCGCATTCCGTGCTTCTTTCCAGATTTCTGCGCCTTCTGCGTGCCATCTCGAGTTCACCGCAGTCCAAGATGACCGCCCAATCTTTGGCAGTCTGCATTGCACCAAGTCTTCTGGACAATCCAAGTACGTTATTTACTGGGATCAGCCCCTACACTTACTGAATCTAGCACACAATCAAAACTCTGTTCCAGAGGTTTAGGTTTTCCTCGTGCGAGCGATTTATAGCGTTTCCATCGTACAACGAACACCCCGGTTATTCCAAATACAGAGCATGCACAGTTTTTAGCTTTTGATGCAGAACTGTAACTTTTTTAAAAAAGTTGTTTTCTATTATTTTTTTACCGACACAAAGTCCTGACTACAGCTGGTAAGTCTGTCCTACCGCAGCCGAAGTGTAGAACGTCGCGACGAGATGGTATTATTCACTACATACCAACGACATCGTAAAAGTGGTTCGATGGTAGTAAACTGAGCAAAAACGCCAAAAAACCCTATCTATTTTCTCGCGTTATCTCAATGCAATTTTCTCATCTGATGGAGAGTTTGACTGTTTAAATGGTTACGAAGGGACGCTTCAAACACCCAGCCGTTTGCTTCGAAAAAGTGATGAACACCAGAAAGGCGTGCTGCTCAATTAGGAGGGCATGATGTTTGTTGTATTCATTAAATTTGTAGCTTTTGCAGACTAGCATTGTGAAATCACCTCATTAATCTTAGAACAGTACTAAATTACGTATAATGCGTGATATTGTTTAAAGAGATGGACTCTGCAACGAGCTGGCTGCCGGAATTGGCCGAATATCTGATCGTTAATGCTCCGTTTCTTCTCGAACCATTTCAGGACGCACAACTCGCGATATCCTCATCCGTCTCCAATGATTCCGGTTAGTAGCACTTTCATTTTGTATTCTTTGGCTGCTGCAAGGACTTGGTTCATTGAAAAGGACCGAAAAATCAACTAATTAACGCCTGTTGCTGAATACACCATCCTAATTGTAACTCAGTTTTGTTAATATCCCTCTGTTGAACTTCTAGACAGTAAGAACTGACAGCAATACTCAATAAAGCATAGTCTAGAAGTGGCAACATTCGATGCTGGTAAATAACGTACGCATACCAAGTATATTCTAAATGACTAAAGCCACTGCGGGTGCTTCTGCCCAGAGTCATGTAAATGTAGACTCGAGGCGCTTTTTTGCCGCTTTTCGAAACTTTTTCATTTGCGTATTGATAAAATTTATCAGGCCAGAAAGATGTGTTGTTACAGGACTGTCAGATGTGGACGTGTGCCTGGAAGCATCGGTGAGTACCTCGGATTCAGGTATACTCGGGTCGCCCAGTTCCACATCTTCACAGGGCATATCACACTCGCCGCAACTGCTGTGTTCGATATGGAAGCATCGGTCGTTGCGA